AGCGTCTCGGGGTTCTCCAGGATCGCCTGGAGCAGCCGGCGCTTCTGGTATTCCGGACCTGCGGGGGGGCGGGGGGAATAGGGGGAGGCTGGATTGGAACCCGCGGAGACAGCTGAGCCCAGACCAGCCACCTAACCTCCCTTAACCGCATTCATTTACACAACTGGCAGACCCGTTGCACTGACCAAGGGCAGGCACTATTCTGAGGACTTCTGAGTGTTCACACACGGAGCTGCTTTAAGATACTGCTGTGAACCCCCATTTCCCAGACGTAGAAAGGTCAGCTCAGAGAGGTTAGGTCGCTTGCCCGAAGTCACAGAGCTGCCAAAGCGCACACCTGGATGCTATCCAGGCAGCCTGGGAGCCAGCCCCGTGCTCCGCGCTCCGTGGAACACTTGCTGTGACCACTCAGGGCAGGTGCGAGTGGCCCGTGCTGCTCTCCCAGTGGCCAGCAGGGGGAGCGCTGTGACCGAGAGTGCCCGATCCTCACGCTCAGCGCCGCACTTTACGGTCTTCCATCTACTTCCCCCTCAGACAGCTCGCTGCAGCCGAATACCACTTAGAGAACACATAACGTATAAGGGCACTGACCGAATTAAAGGCGCTCAAAGCAGAGAACACCGACCTCGGCCCCGAAGGGCTCCCACCACTCTGTGCAATGCGGGGAGACTTCTCCTCAGCCTGCAAACTCGTTTCCCACCACCTGTTGCCTGTCTTAGCATCTACTTCCTGGCATGCCGCTCCGTTTCAAGTTTCTGTGCCTTTGCGCCTGCAATCCCCTCCTAGTTCCCCTGACCCACCCAGCACTACCTGGCGCTGCAGTTCTCAGGGCGTGGTCTCAGACTAGCAGGATTCACGTCACCGGCTGCTGCTAGAAACGCACAAGTCTTGGCTCCACCCAGACCTACGGACTCAGGCTCCCGGGAGGCCGGTGTCTGTGTCAGGCTGGAGACCCCCTGACCCTCATTTGGCCTTCCAGACTCAGTTCAAATGGCCTCTCTTGAGAGCAAGCGGACTTTCCTAACACCTCCCCTCGCCTAAATGGGGTAAGTGCTACCTACCAGCTCCCACGGCCCATTAAAGCGGCTCTGTAACCCTACCCGCACACGCTGTGCGAAATTCAATCATCAGGGTGAGAACAGACGGGCGCTGAGAGCCTATCCGGGCGGTGCTCGACCTTACGTGCACCTGACCCATGCACCAAAAGAGCAGGAACTGTTCCTAGTTCCATTTGACAGATCAAGAGACTGAGGTTTACCAAGGTTAAAAAAAGACCTGGCCCAAGGTCTTACAGCTGGCAAGCGGAGGAGACAGGATTTGAACACCCCACCCCTTGTCTTTGTGATTCCCTGCTCCTTCCAGGTTCTGGACCCCTGATGTACCCCCAGAGCCCAGCACAGTGGGCGACTCAGTGCTTAACTGAAACTGCCTGAGAGCAAGAAGCCCTTTTGACCTCTCATCCGCCCAGACGTCTTCCTTCTCTAAGGTTTACCAGCTCCAAATGTCCACTCTGCTTAGAGCGGAGAGGAGAGACAGGCTGGGTGGGTCCTGGCCACCACTGGGAGCCTCTGCTGCTGCCACCAGACTCCACCGGAAGCAGAGGCGTGTCTCCCCATATCCTCTGGTGTCACCCTCCAGCTTGCAGGCATTCACAAACTCACTCAGGCACCTTGGCTACCCAGCAAAGGAAAGTGCCCGCTCCGTCCTGCCCGTCCCTTCCCTCGTGGCCCTACCTGGCTGGTAGAAGTCCGGAGCCAGCTCCCTGGCCAAAGTGCGGGCAATGCTGGACTCGTGGTTGGCGGCCAGCGCGGCCTGTTCTGCTGCCTCAGCTTTGGCTTTGGCGTGGCTTGTCCTAAGGAGACAACATGGCAGGAGACTCAGGATCCCTCCAGAGAACCAGCCTTCACCCCTCCACCCAGCCCACAGAGATGCCTGGGCAGACCACTCATTCATTCGGGTTGTCAGTGAACATTATTTATGAAGCCCTGAGGCCCGGACTGTGCATGCCTCAAGCCTTCCTTCTCCTCCCTGGGCGCACTGTATCTCCCAGCTTCCCTTGCAGCTAGGTGTGCTCAGATGACCGAGCTCTGGCCAACACACTGTGGGAAGCTGTGCTATACACTACTCCCGAGCCTGGGCCGTGAACACCGCCCCTGTAATCCTCTATGTGCTCTCTGTCTCTCTGTTGTTGGTTGAATGCAGAGGAGGCCAAGGCCCCAGAACAGGGACCGTAACCTCTTTCGTGTTAACAGACCCTTTGGCAGTCCAGGGAAGCCTATAGACCCTTCTCAGAATAAGGTTTTTAAATGCATAAAATACGGAGGGTTATACAGGGGTGTAACTATAGTGACGTGCTGTCATCAATATTTAAAAGAGCAAGTGTGTGGGACCAGCAGATGGCATAATGGCTATGTAGCTGGACTCCACACAGTCAGCTATGGTTCAAGTCCCAGACCTGGTGGCTTAAAGCTCACGCTAGGTGTATGTGCTGTGTGCCCCAAATCCCAAGGGCAGAATGGAGAAGAAGAGAGTGCGGCGTGACCATTCCCTGACAGAGTGACTTCTCACTTCTGTCTTTTGTCTCTGTCTCTCCAGTGAGTGCATGCACCCTATAGCAAACATCTCTCTAAAACAAATAGATAAATAAGCGAGTTTGTAATAGGAGAACATATATCCTTCTTTATTAACTCATTACACACACCCTCCATCAGGTATTAACCACTGTAATTTTGCAGACTGCATTAGCATCATGGATATTCAAGGATATCCGCTGTCATAGCACATGAAATCGATGTGAGTGCTCTGGATGACCAAGTCGCAGGTATCTCAAACACGGCTCATACTACAGCGGTTTATCGTCTACTTCCGGAACTGGAGGAGATGCTAGATTTCCATTAGAACATGGAAAATAAAGTTAAAATAAAGACAGATCTTCCCATCTGTGGGAGGCAAGTTTGGTTCCCTGCTCAGATTCCTTTACTGGGAGAATGTGCCCACCCCCAGCTGCTGTGAGTGCCCCAGAGAACAGCAACCCGTGGAAGCCCCCTCGTTCCAGAAGTGAAAATACCACCTTCCTCACCCTCAACCTAGGGGACCTACAGCAATGACTGACACTGGCCACCTCCTTCTTGCCCCTGAGAGGAAGGAGCCCAACCACATGGTAGGGTACGATTTATGCCCCTAAGCCCCCCACCCCTTCCCCTGCGTGAGTCAGGCTGAAGCAGGTCTCCAGCTGACACCACACGCTTGCTGGGCTGCTTCCCTGGCCTACCCTGCTTCGCTCTGTCCCTGTCTCCTGAAAGCCTCCCTCAATAACTCACTTGCACAGGAGTCCCCAAGCTGTTACTAGGGAACCTAAAATATTATCCAATTCACTGATACCCCACCCCCAAATCCTATCCACAGAACCCCTGTGACTCCAAGGTAAGAAATGTAGTGGAAGGAGCCTGGGTCCCTAAATGATTGCCCAGAGCAAGGCCCCTCTCACAACCCACGCTGGGCTGAAGCTCGGCAGAGGCTGCTGAAAGAGCAGAGACTGGGACAAGTTGGTTTCGGCCGTCAGTCTAGTCTGAGGAGTTGAAGTAGCCATGAAAATAATAACGCAGCGCCATTTATGAATGGGCCAGGCACGGTTCTGGAAGAATCACGAAGGTTATCCCATATAATCATCGCAATGCCGTACAAAGCTGGTTCCTATGCTATGAATGCCGCCCCCCCCAAAAAAAAAAATTCATGTGTTGAAATTGATTGCTGTTGAAATGGTATTGAGAGGCTGGAAACTGGGACTGGCAGATGGTAGAATGGGTACGTCACTGGACTCCCACATGGCTGACCGTGGTTTGAGTCCCGGACACGGTGGCTTCAAACTCACACGGCGTGTGTGCATGCATGCCTATAATCCCGAGGAGAATGGAGGAGAAAGGATCGCAGCATGGCCATCCTTCTCTGGGGGGTGAGGGGAGAGTTTCTTGCTTTCTGTCTCTGTCTCCTCCGCAAGCACACAAGCCCTATAGCAAAAAAAAATCTCTCTCTAAAGAGAGAGAGAGAGAGAGAGGCTGGAAACTTAATCCAAGTGTGGTATTAAGTGGGGTCTTTGGGAGGTGATTAGGGATAGATGGGCTAGACAAGGGCATCGGGGTGGGGCCCCCATGGCTGAATTCTGGTGAATTCGGAGGGAGAGAGACCAGAGCTGACACGCGTGCCCACCCTCTGGCCGTGCGATGCCCTGTGCCACCTGTGGGCGCTGTGGAGACTCCACTTGCAAAGTTCTCAACGAGAGGTCCCTTGACCTTGGACCTTCAGAGTCAAGAGCTGAAGAAAACCTCTGTTCTTCAGAAATGACCCAGCCCACGGTAGTTTGTTAGCAACCAAACATGGCCTGAAACACTGGTGCCGTTATTGTCTCTTTTACAGAGAAAGAAACTGAGGCACAGGACGGTTAAGTAACTTGCCCAAGGTCACAGAGGCACGAAGTACAGAAGCCGGGGTTTCTGAACCTGGGCAACACGACCCCAGGGCCTGCGTGCACGTGCCACTCTAGAGCACATGCCATGCTTGGTCGGGACAGGACCTGAGGACAGAGACTACTGTGGACGGGAAAGGCCCGGGCCCCGCCCTCACTGCTAGGTAAGGAAGATAGTAAACCGACCACAGAAATCATCTAATGGGGTTCTCCATTCGAATGGTGCCACATGCTGTGAAGGAAGAGCATAGACCATAAGGCAAGGTGGAGGGAAGGCTCCTTTGAGGATGTGACATCTGAGACCTGAAAAGACCCATAGGAGGCCCTCGGGAGGAGGCGGCTCTGGGCGGTGAATCACGCAGAGGGCAGAGCGTGTGCACAGACCCCGAGGCGGGCGAGCACCCGGTGTCCCAGAGAACGGCCAGGTCGAGTCAGAGTGCCCCTCTCCAGAGATGAGTCCGTTCTTCGGGGAGCTGATGCGTATGTACCTCTGTCTCAGTCACTGCACAGAACGGGGCACGCAGTAGGGGGCACATATGTCATTCAGCGCCTAGTACCAGCCAGGCCTTTTATTATATTAGCCCCTTCGGTCCTCAGAACGGCCCACGAGGTCGTTTTCCTGCTTCTAATTCTCAGGTGGGGAAACGGGCTCAGAGAGGAACCAGGCTCAAGATGCAAAACAGGAGCCAGACTTACAAAGCCCTGACTGTGAGCCCAGAGTTTTGCAAGACGTACCTCATCCAGCCCCCGTCTATGTGGTAGGTGTCGTTGCACCCTCCTCTTTACAGGGGGGACAACTGAGGGACACAGCTTTAAGGGACCATCCGACTAACACAGCTGGCAAGTAACAGGGCGAGGATTCAAACCAGGCCTTCTGGCATCTGGAGCCTGAGCCCGAACCACAGGCCTGACGTCCCGCCTCGCCATCTGTTTCCCGAGCCCTGATCTCTCCACTGGGCCACACTGCCACCGTATGCGCACTGGATGGAGGAAGGCATGAACGAAGGGCGCACACAGGCACACACGCGTGTACAGGCATGGGGCCGCAGAGGGCAGTGCCCAGGGCACGGCTTTGCCACTCACAGCTCTGGGTTCCAGTTCAGATTCCGGAGAGAGCAGGACAACTGAGGGAGGCACTCACTCATGCAGAGCTGACAGAGGCCAACACAGTAACCAAGAGAAAGCACGTTTTAATATCCTATTTCTAAAAGTCAATGCAAAACAACACGAAGTCCCTGACGGACACGAATACAATGTTAAGTGAAGGCTGGCTCGGGGCCTGCACCTGCATCCGTCCCTCCCTCACCTCACTGGGACGCTAGGACCTTGGGTGTGTGGCTTGGCCTCCACGTGCCTCGGTTTCTCTTGTTTTAGTTGTCAAAGAGCATGTGCTCTCACCAGAGAGAAAGAGAGGAGAAAGCACCCGGCCCCACGGGGCAATCCCTTCTCCTCCATTTCTCCACCCTTTGGGGATTTGGGGCACATATGTAGATGTGCCCAGCATGTATTTTTCAAGCCTCGCAGACTGAGATTCGAACTGTCATGTGATGACGGTGATGACTGTGGTGGTGACAGTGATGGTGGAGGAGGGAGAGGACATCTGTGACATCAGAACTGAATGTGGGACGTGCACAGTCCCGGGCTCATTTCCGCCTGCACACAGTCCATGTGAGACCAACTTCTGAACTTCAAGCCCCTTCCTGGGAACCTGGAAGCCCAGGTGAAGGCAGAGGGCTGGGCACACCTTCCAACTGAGGGAATGTCCTTTTTTGGTCATGTGAGCGGAAGGACGAGCATTTCCTGGGCCCCGGGAGCTGAGCTATAGGTCTCCTGGAGCTGGCATGGCAACCTCCAGTCACAGCCCTGGATGATCCTGGGAGAACCATTGTGGACCCCCCAGGGCAGCCCAGACAGGGGTCCAGAGGCAGTGGTCACACAGCTGAAGGCCACGAGGGCTGCTGGAGGGAAGCACATTCCTAATCAGCCTGGCTGGCTCAAGCCCTTCTCAGCCCTCTCTCTCCCCAGCCCCCCATGTTTGATCTGGGAGAGGCTCCCAGCTCCCAGCCTTCAAAAAAGCGGGCCTCCTGCTGTTACCATACCCCCCCTCCTCTTTTCACACCACAAGTTATCAATTGCTCACTCTACTCCCTCCTGCTCCCCTCACAGCTCTTGACTCTGCCCATCTCCCCACCCCTCCATCCTTCTGCAAAGCCCGGTGCCCCATCTGGCTCCTCCCTCCCTGCAGGCTCGCCCCCACTGCCCACCTGCACACCGCAGCATAGTGAGCTCCCTCAGCTCAGATATCCAGGGCCTCATCTCCTGCATAAAATCTTCGCAGGGCTTCCCACTTCGCTCAGCATAAGGTCCAAACTACTCAGCACGGGCTTCAG